TATCCAGCCAAAGCTCACCCTTAGGATGGGACAAAGCACAAGTCTAGATCCAAAGAACTCTCAAGTGGTTAGGAGTCAGGAATCCACTCTGGTTGCTGAAGACGTCGTTCCCTCCTCACCTGCCTAGACCCCTCTCGTTTGCCTTGGCTGCGCAGCTCTATCAGTAGAGATTCCTTGGCTTTTCTTTTTGCCAAGGCATGGGGGACATTTAATAAAGCACATTTTTTTCCAGACAATATTCCTTCTCTGCAAAGCCCCGGGCTATTCCTGGCTTTTTAACAAGTCTTTAAAGAGAGGAAAAAAAAAAAAGAAAAGGAAAGTTGTTTGTGGTGCTAACGGTATGGAATGAGCTAAAGCTTTATGCCATTTTTAGCACTCTTGGAACAGAGAGAATTGGAGGAACTGAAAATATATGCTTAATCGCCCCCAGGAAAGGCTGCCATAATATTTTGGGTTGCATAAGCAAACGAAATTGGAAATCTGGAATGTATTCAAGACCTTTTGATCGGGGAGCTTTGCAAGTGCAGAAAAGTAAAAACACAGACAGATGGGGATTAGAGTTGAGCATCAGGAGAATAATTTCCTCTTTTAATTTCAGTTCCGCCAACATATAAAAAGCATTAACAATCCACTTACGTAACGTGCACCCGAGCCCAGCTATAGGAGCAGGAATGCTCGGTGTAATGAAGCCATTGCACAGCCCATGTTTGCTGCGTGGAGGTAGGAGTCACTTTGCACAAGCAAATGAACAACCCACCCCCCCCACTTCAAAATGTCCTGGCCAAAATTAGAACTAGTTATCGAGGCTAATAGGAGCTGCAGGGGGTTCAGGGGAAATTGGAGCCTGCTCTGAGATACTGCTGGGTTCATGAAATCCAATTGATGATGACTTGCAAACCCCAATCCACCCCGGTTTTTCCTCTATCTTTGTTGCTAAATCAGCTTCAGTGGGAGAAGGGAGATTAAGGCTGAGGAGCAAGTGGAGATATTTGTGCTGATTGTTTGATACTGGGAACAACAGTCCATCATATACTTTGTGTCACTCTAATAGTAGGATCTCTGAGAGAAGGCACTGCAATGTCCAGAGGCTGGTAAGAGCCCCACAGATTGGAGACTGCAAAGGCTGCCAGAACAGATGAGACTTCTGCTCTTGCCTGTTTTCCTCTTCTCTGGGGATATTTTTGCATACAGTGGATGATGCAGAGTGATGCAGAAAAAGTACTAAGAAAGAGGATGGTCTAAATAAGACCACTTACATTTTAGGATCAACTAACCAGATATGGCTCCTGAACAGGTTTTGAAGAGTCTCTGGTACCCCACAGTATCCATATTAAGAACTATTTGCCTACTGACATCAACTCCCCAGACTGCTGATGTCTGCAGCCTCTAGATAAAAGCCTCTTCTTCCAGGTAGCTATTTTTTGTTAATGTTCTTTTTTTGCACACAGATTGAACTGCAGTTACTTCTGCTTGCATTTCACTCTTATCACATGAACTTAGGTGGGAGTAGGACTGAGATTTCACAGACCGGTTCTGCTTTCCTTCATTTCAATTAATATCACATATGGGAAGACATCTGTATTTTTGGCATTGCTTTATGATACTCTGCATAGGCATGAGCTCAGAGGAGCTTTGAGGAAGTCTCTGCAGTGGGAGTGGAGCTGTCCTGGGTGTTTTCCTCCCGCCTTGAGAAATCCCCAAATTGGCCAAGACAAACCCTTGGAGCTCTCCTACCAACCACCCTTGCTCCGGCCTCTTGTGGGAAGGATGCAGCAAGGAAATCCCAACCTCCTGGCAAACCTGGAACAGTGTCTGAGGCATCCGGTAACCTCTGCAGATTAGAGCTGCTTGGAGGCTGCTGGTTTAGGTGCTGCACTGGGCTCAGGATTTGGGAATACACAGATTCCTACTGAATCATCGAGCAAGCATGGAGCCTTGCTGCTCATTGGACCTGGGGACCGTGGTTGATTTTGGACCACAAGAAGACCACAACAAGAGTCAGCCACGTGTGAGCGATGCTCTCCGGGCTGATTTGCTACAATAAATAAATAAAAACAAGACAGAAGCATTAAAAAATGAGGTTTTACATGACTGGCATGTCATTTCCATTCAAATGGGTTACACCGTAGGTGCACATGAGATCATAGGCTGCTATTTCAGGAGGAAACCTCTACTTATATAAATGTCTGATTATGCAACTGTCATGGAAACCAGAGATGATAAAGATGCATTAGATGAGCTTGTCCATTCCCTCAGTGCAGGATTGTTCCCAGTGGTTTATTTTTTGCTCAGGATTGTGAGAACCGAGCAGTGGCTGCTGGGTGTCTTGCTTGAGAAGAAATGATTTATAGTACAAGCTGAGCTGTCATTTTTCTAAAGGTGATTTGCTTTGGAAACTCAGCTATAGAAGCACTCAAAGTCACTGCCAGCATCCAGCAACCCTCACACCAGCATCTCATCCAGCCCTGGGCTTACATGCTCAGAGGACCATTGCTTTCATTGCCTAAAACACACACCAGTGTCTTAAAACCATTTCTCCAGCTTTCTGCCTGACCCTTCCTTAATTCTGATCCCCAAACTCTGCTGTCTTTCCAAATAATACTCAATTTTCCCTGTTTTTGCACCCTGCCAGCACGGCCCTCATTCACTGCTGTTGCTTAGCCAAGCTACACAAATTTAGGTCGTCTTAATCTGTTCTCATAGGTCAGTCTCTCAAGCCATGCTCATTTTTGCTGCCACACAGGGAAATCAGCGGAGATTAGTGTTTAATCTTCTTTCCCTGTTTAAAGAAACCCCAGGTTCTGTGCGTGTTCAATGGTTTTCCTGGGACTTGAAATTAAAATGTTTAAAAATAAATGTACTTCTATCTGCTTTTCTCAACGTTCACCTCCAGTTCCTCTCAGTCCCTGATTTGTCTGCTCTATTTCGGCCTTATTAGAAAATGGCTTTTATTTTTTTGCAGATTAAACTTCAGTTTGGTTTCTTATCATGGATTGCTATGTCGTGAGCTATGGTTTGGTCTCACCCATGCTAATCCTGCAGGATTAACCTGAACTGGTTTTAAACCAAACCCTCTGGGTTGTCCAGTCCCACCACAGTCGGGATTTGGGAGAATGTGTAGACAAAAAGATTAATCTGCCAGTGGTATTTACCCCTATTTGTGCAAACTCGTTCCTCTTTTACTGTGTTTTCTGCTGGCTTGCAATGTACTTGGTTGCTGTTGTTTTCCTTGAAGGTGATCGCCTTGCTTCTTAATCCCAGTGGTCACTGAACTCTTTTGCTCCCCTCATGTCTAAATTAGATAATGATATACCACCCCAATATGCATCTTCGGTTCTTAGGACCTATTTTGGTCCATGTTTAAAGAGTTTTAAACAGTAAATGCTTTTTATCTGTAGCTGGACTTCACCCAGGGTCGTAAGGCAAATTAAATTGAGGCTCCATCAGGTCCCAGCAAGGAAACAGACTGCAGAGGTGGGGCTTCTCCTCTGACAGGAGGTCCCATTCCCAACCCGGTCCTGTTCCTTAACCCTTGGTGGAAATGGCAAAGCTGCCACTGCGGAATATGGGGAGAAGCCAGTACCTGATGAGCAGGAACTCGAAATACAAAGGGGCTCTGCACTGAGTTGTTGCATCAGGCTTACAGGCTAATTCTGGTCTTGCTGAAGTCATTTGAAAAACTCATTTTAGTGTGGGCATGGCTCCTACTGACAATGCTGCCAAGCACCTCGGCACTAACCTACAACACCTCTCCTATCTCCCTGTGCAGCTCCAGGGCTATTTTAGCCAAGGCTGTCAGTTGAGCTGAATTGTTCCATTATGTGGTGGCTTTGCAATGTGGAAAAGTGCTCAGGAGCAACTGCTCTCTAAATGAGAGGAGAGTTGTTGAGTCTCTGGGGCCAATTCAGTCATTGATTTTTATTTATTTATTATTTTATTTATTCTTTTCCTGAGGCAGCTGATACGGGGAACAATTACAGTGGGGATTTTTCTCCACTACGGATCTCAATTGACCATGCAGTGCAGGGGTGCGTGCTTATTCCACATGAAACCCCGCTACGGGGCACTGCTTTCCAGCCACTACTGAACTGAGACAGATTTAACCCTAGAGATGGAAGTTCAGATTGTAATGTCTCGCCCCGTATATCCTTCCATCAGCGAGAAGACAATGAAACGCAGTGCTTATAGGGTGATTTATAAGAGCAAAGCACTCCAGCTACTCATCTTAAATCACAGTGATAGGGCTATGTATAGACAAGCAGACTATTTTGGAGCACTTCAGATGAGTTCCAGCCTCCTCTTTAAGTATTTAAGAGAAGTCCTTAAAAGCAAGAACCTGCTCTGTTACATTTCTTAAAAGACCAAGCACCCCCAGGGAGAACCTGCCTGGTCCCCTCCCCATTCCTCCACAGCCCACATTGCTGCTGTCCCCTCTTCCACGAATGGACACGTTTCCACAGGAATGATCCCTGAATTTCATCTGTAAGAGCCTTCTAAGTAATTCCAGCATGTGCTATAGTTAGGAAGTTAAAATCAAAGGCACAAGGACCAGCATATTTAATAAGATGGAAAAGGCTTTCAGCAAAATGAGAACCACATTGAAGGATTTGGGAGTTTCTCCTGTATGGATTCCGAAAGGGGCCACGGGTTTGCAGTGCACTGGCAAGCACAGAGATGCTGTGTATTCAGCATAGGCAGTAATTACATCTCCTCTTTCTAAATTATGTTATCAGGAAACATCTATATTGTTTGCATGGGGCTCGATTACGCTCTGAGAATAGAATGTTCTCTGCATAAAGAGCACGGCTGGAGTAAATCAATGAGGATGCACTCAGCAACATCAATTAAAGGTAATATGAGTCTTTAGCACAGGAGCAGGGAGCTAGCAGAGTTTGAAATTCCTATTTTCCCAAGCCTGCCTCCATCCTAGGAAAGTGACAATGCAGAAACCACTCAGAAATTCATAAGGTTTAAAAATAAAACACACGTCTCCTCTCATCCTCATCTTCACTTGGGTTTTTACTCGGTGCTGTTTCTCAGCGTAGCAGATGAATGTAACGTTTTCCTTCGCGAGATCTCAAACTTCTGCTGGCTTAAGGCCTTGCCCTTCTGCAAGTGTCACTAACTGAGTACCTTGGTTTGGGAGTATCTGCTTTGGGACCCCTGCAATCTGATTTCCTGAGATGCCATGAGCCCATTGCTGCTTCCAGTGGGAGCTGAGGTTTCCCAGCCCTGCTGAAAATCAGGTCCTAGGCTCCTTCAGGCCAGCACCAAGGAGTCTCAGGTTTTCAAAGTTAACAGTTGCCTCTAAATATAAAACAACAGCAAAGCTATAATGGAAGTGGGAAAAAAATCCATACCTTTTGCCTTCCTAATATGTTATACCTGATGCTCACTGCAGAAGGGTTAGAGATCTGACCCTTTGGACATGGTTAGTTAGGGAGAGGTCCACTGGTCCCAGTGATTTCTGGTTATTTAGGAAAAAGGGAAATTAATGTGAGTTTTCCTTCAGCCTATTAATTCTGCACCCCCATCACAGACATTAATTCAAACATAAAACCTGAGCCTGAGTTTGAGCCTCCCCTGTGCTCAAAGCAGTCCGTGCCCAGGGTTCTTGTTCAGGCCCATTTGTTACCTGCGTGACATTCATCCATCATCCTGATTGTAATGGTGAGAGGGGGAAAATGTCCTCCTGGCTACTGAGAAGAAAAAGGACCTTACATAGAATTTATAATCTCCCTCATCTGAGCTAATTATTCAGGAAAGGGTATTTTTCACTGCAAGAAGCCCAGGCAAGCAGATTCCATTCATAACTCAAATACCAAACAGCTTGAACACCTTTGGGTTTAGTGGCTGATTTTATAAATATTAAGGGGGGGGGGGGGGGGTAGGTTTGTTATTTTATGGTGTTTTGTCAGTGCTCTTTCCCTTCGGGCAGAAAGCTGCTCCCTCTTCGTCACAGCCTCGATAATGAATTGCAGTGTACAAAGCCGGTCATACAATACGCAGCGGCGGCAGCGCGGAGCGAGAATCTTTGGGAAGAGTTTCCATAGAAACATTGACGTCCTCCTGGCGAACAGGACACCGAGTTCCTTCAATGGGAGGTATGGGGTTTTAAAGGAGCAGTGAGGTGGCGGGAAGCCAATCCAGCAGAGCTATGACTCTGCATCTCCCAGCTGAATGGGGGGGGGGGGGGGGGGGGTAGTGGTGGTTTGAGCTGGTGGGATCAAAAAAAAGACATAAAATAACCCAATTACCCTCACATTAGCAAAATGTCGGATTTGATGGTTGCTGCGAGAGCAGTGCTGTGCATAGGCTGGTAAATAATTAAACTGCTGACCGCAGAGTGCAGTCAAAACCCATAAATCCTGCAGGCTGTGAAGTAGCAGCTTCTAAGAAACCTTGTCAGGTTTTGTCACAGGCTCCATCCCCAGAAGCCTTAAATTCAGCACAAATGGGCATGACGCAGGCATAAAGCTCCCAGGACGAGCAAGGTTGCACCCTGGCGATGCTCACCCACCCCTCCCCTCCCCTGCTTGTCTTGGACCAAGACAAGTGTTTTGCTAGTGTTCCAGCTCTGTGTTTTAAATAGCCTCGTGTCTACCCAGCTCAATAGTGGCAGAGCAGCCCTGTCTGGAAGAGGCTGTTTCTAGAAGGAAAACAGTCAGAGGAAATGTTTTTGCCAGAAACGTTGGAAATCATACAAAACAAAAAGGGAGCGTGCACAAGAATTCACCGCCGAGCGCTGCCGGGCGGGTTTGTTCAGGCTCACAACACGCTTTGTTTCGGAGCCATCCCCAGATCAGATTAATGAAGATGACAGACGTCCCTTCTCAGAATGTGTGTGACCCATCCCAGGGCCACGTTTGACACCCAGGGACATGAACTGGAGCCTTCCCACTGCCTGCAGGGGCTTTGGCTCCAGACCCAGGAGTCTGAAGTAGCAAGCAGCCATCTGACCCAACCTGGTCGCTCTCAGCCTTCATGGCTTCCTCCAGCTCTTTGACTCCAAGCTGGATATCTCTACCACAATTCAGACAACTCTCTGGTGCAGTCCAATACATCTCACTTAGGGTCTTATGTGGATGACTCTCCCAATTACCCAATCATCTTCCCATGGTGAATTGCACAAGGAGAGAAACTCTTCCTCTATGTCTCCCCAGCACTGATATCGCAGGGGTGACCAGAAAATCCCTGTGGTATGTGATTTTCTTTGTGAAGGTGAGGTGGAGATTGAGTGTGCTCCAAGCGTGGGGCTTGAGGGGAGCTTCGCTACCTGCAGGAGCTGGTGCCATGCTCTTCATCCTGCCTTATCCTCTCTGCTTCTGTTATTAGAAAGTACCTTGTAGCTTTGCATACTTCTAGGTTTTCTGTGCACAGCTTAAAGTCTCTCCAGAGTGAGAGACTTTTTATTTAGGAGGAAATACAAAGCATCCACAGCCCCATTAGGGTTTAATGGGAGACTGAGGTACTCTGTACCTTCTGTAATCTTCAGCTACGCACCAAAGGCTAACTCCTCTTGTGTGGATATTGACCTTAATCACTTGGCCTTTGCAATGCTCAGAAAATGTGGTTATTTATACTTCTGCTATTGCAGTACTGGAAACTCTGTGCTGAAAGCTAAATTATTTCAAATCTATATGGTTATGATGCTACATGAAGTTCTGGCTCATCACCTTATAACAAAACCATCCATTTATTCAGTGGGCTTCAGGTAAGACCTGGATACAGGATATGGAATTAATCTATTTGGAGAATGTTTGCATGAAGATTATTTTGGTTAAACCTGTTCAGCAAGATTCATTGTAGACACAGAAAAACAGAACAGTCAGTCAGCAAGTCAGGGGATCTCAAGGAAGTGTCTTGAGTTTTAGGGACTTAACTTGGATAGTTTCAAAAGATGATGGCAGGAATTACTTACAAGGGAACAGGAAGAGAGGGAAAGAAAGACGTGTGTCTTCCTGAGCAGTACCTAGCTCTTTTCATCTGTTAGTCTCAAAGTGTTCTGCTACAGTATAAAAAATACTTTATCCTCTCTTGCAGATGCAGAAATAAGGAGCAGTTTAGAATGAAAGCCATATTACTTGAGCTCTTCGTCCTTATTTACAACCTAGGTGAATGCGAAGGCTCGTTAATTCTTTCTTGATTAACATCACTTTATAAGGTGTTCAGCTAGCACGGAGATGAACTCCATTTCGATACCCAGGCAGGCTGGATTTGCATGCTCCAGGAAGGGCAGAAGACAAACCTGACCCACACACCCACCACGATAAGGCTGCTGGGTCAGAGGTGGGGCTGGGGACAACGCCTGGTGCTGCCACCCCGAGAAGCAGGGACTGAGGTGTGCCCAGCACCTTGCTGCCCGACCTCAGTCACAGCACACAAGGCCCTTGTTTGGGCATGGACCTATTTGTACACACACAAAAAGAGAGCCCTTAATTATACTGAATTAGGAAGAAATAGAATTAAAGCAGGGGGCCACGTTGGGTTGGCTGCAGTTGTACCCTCCAAGCACTTTGACGTGGTATTTCTGCAAGAGCGAGCACTAAGTGGAATTACCTACTTGAGCAATATTAAACTGGCACACCACAGCAGCCCGAAATTTCTTCTAAACCAAAACTTATTACAGCCCCTCCTTTGCCAGAGGTGCTTTTTCTTCCAGATTATCCGCAGAACACTGGAGCTGGGTGTGCATTCTTTATTCGTGAGGCGCTTTTAACCAAGACAAAGGCATTGCTCCCTTCAATGCTTACGAGGCCCTTGGCTGAGCAAACCCTCTTTAGAGACACTTAATTGAGGAAAACTCATCGTGGAATAACAAATAACTCCCATTAAGGGCAGATTTATCTGCAAGCTGAAGGGAACAGGGGCTGTAAGGAACCATGCCCCTTGCTGAGGGGCTACAGCGATGACTCAGTGAATCCCAGCAGGCTCATGCTTAGCCAAGGGATGCTACAAATATTTCTGCATACTTCTTAAAACTCATTTTTGACTTAAAAAGTGAGAAGAGAGCCAGTTCCCTTTCCATGTAGCTTGTAGTCAAGAGCGGTCGAACGCATTATAGATGTTGATATCCAGGTGGCTCTGTTTAGATGAAGCACTGGTATCCTGCTCTCTAGCTGAATCAGGAAAGTCTGTCCCTGCACCTGAGCCCACATGGTCATTCCCTTTAGGTGGAGCTTCTGGAACACTGCAGCCATGGGTAACTGCAGCCAGCAAACAGTTTGCAAATCCACCCCGCAAACCCACTCCTTCTCCTGGACCAGAGCCTGTGCAAACAGCAAAGAAATGGTATTCTCTGTGATAGATTGTTTGAGCTTTCCTTCCAGCAGATCCTGCTTCTTTTTCACATCAGCTCCTCTCCTGAATCTAGGACGCGGGAGATGCTCAATCCTGCCTTCTGGGCTCTGGTCCATCAGCTTTGCAACGTTTTTGTGATACACCAGTAATCACAAGCTGCTTGCGTTAGATGGCACGCTATCAGCCAGCCTTACCAAAGGGCTCTTACTCTTTGATTGCGCCTTGTACTAGTAGAAAACAAAAGTATCTCTTTCAACAATGAATTCCCACTTTATCCTTCATAATGGTGGTGGGTTTCTATGCCTCAGACATGACACAAACCCATTGCAGGAGCCATTTTGAACACCCAAATTTCCTATAAACAGCTGAAGCGAGGAAGGAGGCCATTGCTTCAATCACTGGTGGAAGTGGAGAGCCTGTACTACAGAATAACATAAAGGAAGAACAGACTTAGTTAAAGATGGGAATTTGATACCAAAAATTAAGCATGGCCATAACAATTACAGCCATCTAGTGGGCAAAAGTTGTTTTTTCTAAATAAAAATAGTATTAATAGTCAATTTCAAAAGTAAAATACTTGGAAATGAAAGAGGAAGGAGAGCGTCCGTGCTCTCGTGGGGTTTTTATTATTCTTCAGGAATACATAAAATCTTCAATATTCTCCTTCTTGCATTGTAGTCTGCAAATATTAGGAAAAATAGATCTCATCTGGTGCTACTGTTTTAGTGAAGGACTTGCTGAGAATATCCAATGAAGTACATTGTTGTTGAAGGGACAGGGCTTTGTTAACAGAGATTTCCTTTCTCCAAATGGTTCTTACATTTTAAAGCTAGATATATGACAACATGAGCTTTAAGTTGATAGCAACAAATCAACAAGTTTCACACTGATTAAGTTTCTCTTTCTTCAGATGCTTTGTATGTATTCTTTTGGCTCTTGATGTCATCCATCATTCCAGGCTCCTCAGGCTTCACAGGGTATTTCATGTTCGATAGGATCTCTAGTGAGTTTCTATTGAAAAAGCAAACTGGAAAGAAAGTATTTCATCTAAATCTTTGCATATCAAAAGGAAGAAAAAGTACATCCCTTTCTTTATCTTACTTTTATATGGAGCATATGGGCTGAAATTATGAACTTCAGATCTGAATTCCAAAAACTCCAAAGCATTTTGATTTAGCCCATAATAAAACCTGGACTGGGATTTTGTAACAATGCTTTTTAATCCACCTCGGAGGAGGGAAAAGATTCTCTGTGAGAGGGTTTTGCTCTCTTAGAAGTTTTGGGGTTATTGTTTGGGTTTGGGTTTATTTTCTAAACTTAGTCATCTGTATTCAAGATTTTAAACCCGTATTTTAAGAACATATTTACAGAACAAACAAACCTTCTCAGAATAATCCCCACAGGCTTTTTATCGCATGCCTCAGAGTGGAAGAACAGGCTATAGGATCTCTTTACCCTACGACAAGAAATAACTGGCTGTGAATTTTGGAAATCCTCTTTGGCATGTGTTCAAGCCGGTATTAATGCAAACCGCCCCATGCCAATCTCCTGACTCATCCCGCACGGCAGCTCCTGACACTCATCCCATCCGTCGCCGGCCTTCCTAAGGAAGAAAACAAAGCAGCTCCTCCCTTCCTTCCTGCGAGCTCATGTGTTCGAACTGCGGCTGAATGGGGGCATCTTCTGTATTTCCAAGTATTTAACTTGGTGTCTGATGTGTGGATCTCGAAGGGGAGTTTGTCACTGTATAATTCATCTCGACTCCCAGGGCGCAGAGCAACTCATGGTGCATCCTTCTGCCAGCCTCAGTTTCATGTTCAGGGCATGAGACTCTCTTTGCAGCAAGTATGTTACAGTTTCTTTGCACCCCTGGTGCAAAACTCATTTAAGACAGCTATATGTCAAATATAGCATCATGTTGCTTCTAAATCCTATATATATATAGGACTCAATGATCCTTATGGGTCCCTTCCAACTCAAGATATTCTATGATATACGTAATTTCTATATTATTTACATAGTGTATAAATATCCAAGTAACCATTATCCATATGCAGGCAATGTTTGCGAAGGAAAATGCTGTTTAAATACCCCAGCCCTGCAGAATCTTGTGTGCTGGATTAAATCTCGGCCCACATTCGTTTGTGCTAATTCCAGGAGGGTTTTTCCCTCATCCTACAGGCGAGAGGTGAGGAGTGAAGGGCAGGGGTTCAGCTGCTCTATCTGTGAATTTCTTGACCTCTGACAGTTTGGGTTTTTTTTTTTAATCACAGCCTTTTCCAAGCATAGGCTGCACAGTAAAACATGCCATATAAAATCTCTGATAGATACAGAGCTAGATTTGTGATGCAGTTACTGGTATTTCATTAACCTTTATCTTGACAAGTGGAAATAACACACTGTGATTCAGGGTAAATTTTTCACTTGCAGAGAAAAATGGTGCCAAAGGAAAGCAAATGGGCTAGAAATTAATGAACACAAATCTCAATAGCAAAATTCAGATTCCAGCTGGACGTGGCCCCTGGTGCATGTTTTGGACATGTTGGGCTGTTGTGATGATGTTCTGGGGGTACAACAGAGCTGCGGCTTGCACATTGCTGAGGAGCCCAATGGCAACCACAGCCAGCACTGGGAACAGGGGTAGTCACCTCCAGGCTTCCTCCCTTGCTGTTTCCACCCAGATGAAGACACTGGCCTCAAGGATTGTCCACCCTTCCTTGGGCTGTGGTTCCTCCATGCTGCATTGGTCTATGGCCCCATGTTCTCACTAAGCTCAGCAGCAAGGCTCTTCTCACTCTGCAGAAAGGCTGCTCGTACTCACGATCCGGAGCACGTGGCTATGCAACCACCAAAACCCCAGGGAAAACCATTTCTAGGAGGGCCTGAGCTAAATACAGCCTCTCTTAGACTGCAGACTCACTGGTGGCCGGCAGAGTCCCCCAGAGGAGACAACAGAGCTGGTGAGTAATAAGGATAACTGATGTTTTTCCAAGCTGAAACCAACCTGACTCACCACTATTTTGTTTCTTTTATTGTTATTTGTGTTGCTCTGATGCCAGACAGCAGATCTCAGTTATTGAGCCCAGCATTTTATCACCATATAACAGGAGAAAGTGCCCACTTCCAAACTAAATCAGTAGGAGGGAGAGAAAGAAAAAGCAATGCCGCTTGCTCACTGCTGCCCTGTAATTTGGGGCTGAAAACCTCCAATGCTCTGCTCCCAGCTAAGCACCTTCACTCACCCATGGTGGCATATTTTCCAGCTGGCCTTGCCTTGTAAGCTTAGGTTTATAAATAGTCAATAAGGTAGTTGTCCAAATAAGAGATCTGCTTAGAGCACGTGTTTCTGGACCCCTCGTGCTCCAGGGAGTGCTCACTGCCGGGAGGGGCTGCTCATATCTGCAGCTTTCCATTGAGATACTGATCTGAGGCTGCAGGAGAGCAAAACTTGCCATCAGAAAATGAGCAGGAACAGGTAGATATACCACGGGTATGGCCGAGGCCACCCCTGCCCTATTCGCTCTGGCCATGCTGTCCTCCAGCGAGCAGCACAACCCTGTACAACCAGCTCCTGCTTCTCTCTTAGATGAAGTCAGGATCTATTCCTGGGCAGGACTGCTATGGAAAATGTCTCTCTGGAGCTGGTGTCTGCCAGGGATAATGTCCCTCTCAAGCCAGTATCTAGCACAGGATAAAATTCCTACTGTCTGTGATACACATCAGCCTCTTGAGGCTTTTGCAACACCCTTGGTGTTGCTGGTGCAGGGAGCAGTCATATCCACCATCATATCTGCAAAGCAGAAGATACTCCAAGGAGTTTAATAAAATATCAGGGTCTGGATCTGGTAACATCAATGGAGGCAGAATTATTCCCAGATCTAGAGAGAAAAGTACAAACAAAGAGAACCTAGATGTCAAAGAGACAAAAGCTGGATGGGAGATCAATGCAGAAGAGCTCTGTGAAAGGTCTGGGGTTTAATGAGAGATGAGTAGGATGGGACTTGGCACAGATCAAAGTTATTAGGAACAGCAGAGAAGAACATGAGATGCAGATAGTGAGAGGGGAGAGAACAGCTGGAATAGGAGGCTGGGAGGAAAGCGGGTAGAGGATTTTTGCAGCTTGGATGCTGCAGAGGACCAGGAGTGGTGGTCACCGTTCAGGACAGGCATCCCCACTGCTCCCAGCCTCTGTGCTGGGCCATTGTGGAGGCAACTGCTCTCGTTTTGGTTTGGTTTGGTTGTTTTAAAGCCCAGATGGGTTCACTAGCGGCAGCTCTAACTTCAGCCCAAAGCTTCAGGCCTCAGAGCACCTCAACAGATCACATCTTGGCTTGGGAAGACATGCCTGGCATGTTGGTCAGTGCTGGCTCCTGAAATGAATCATCATCTGTTCTGGAGAACTGTGCCTGAGTATTAGGACAATTATTGCTTTCTTCCAGCCTCGGCTGTGTAAAAATGCACTGCTTCTCTTTATGAGAAATTCTCATCTCATTCTGTCAGTCATCTTGTCTCAGCAGGGACAAAAATCCCCAAGCCCTGTCATATCAGAAAATGAGAAAATTATCAATATCTAAAGCGTATGTGAAAAACAAGAGCTCGTTCTCCATTGGGCAGAATGGATCTTGGTTGTAAAGTCTTACAAATGTTAGCAGCTTCTCAGACATTCAAAAATGTTAATGATCCTCCGGTACTAAAATAGCTTCCCATAGACTTCTCCATATTTAAAATACTGTCTTGCCCTCTGCAACCATCTAGAAGACTCTCTCATAGATGAATGGTTCCATACATCGCTTTATGTATTCCGAAAGCAGAGTTAGGATTAGTATATTCATGCAGACACAACAGGCTCTGATGATTGCCTGAGTATCTGGAGCTAGGATGGAGCTTCAGAGCCTGAAATCAGCTTAATAAATACTATCAGCTTCCAGTGAGCGTAGGAATAGAACAAAATCTGTCAATAGCTGCAGCTCTGAATAGGAATCCTTGAGAAAAATATATATCTCACTCCCTCATCTTTGTGCTGGCCCCATTACACTGCCCTGGGGAGAGAGTAGGGACTCAAGAGGTGACAGCCCCAAGCCCTGCAGCAAGAGGGTCCCTGCCTGCCCCAGGAATGACCCCCCCCTTCAGTCATAGGGGTGTCTGAGCCACTCCTTCAGTCCTCTTTCCCCTGAAGAGCAGCAGCTGGCTGCCCTCTCCTACAGCCATGCATAGATCCTTTTGCTGTCCAGGGGCTCGTGCTGTTGTTTCCTCCAAACAGCTGATTTTGGAGACAGCTCCCCATGGGAAACCTGGGTGCAGCTCCTCAGTTGCCTGCAGACTCCAGCAGACCTCCCTCCTTTGGCTGCACGCAGCTCCTGTCCTGGTGCCTTGGGCTGGGACTCATAAACATGCACCTCCAGATGCTTCAGCACAGCCCGGAGCAGCCAAAGCTGCCACATGCCAGCAGTCTTAATCACATCCCCAGGCATGCAGAAGAGTGGATTAATTCAGATCTAACCCTTATTAATGCTACCTGAAATGACAGGTTTGAGCCTTGGCACCTGTGAAGCTGGCTGGCTTGGGGCATGAGTGGAGGAACACAGAGGAACTCGCTGCTTCTACAGCACTCCTGTGGTAAGACTCACAATTACATTTGAATCTGTTGTGCTGTCTTCCTTTGCAAACATCTGTCCCTTTTGCTTTTAGGAGCCATTAATTGCTTTGTTTCCCTATCAGATTAGTTTGTTCCTCTCACTGTAGCTTTGGGCTTTTGCAGCTGAATGGGCCACAGGAGACTTGAGGATCAGGACTGAAGACATGGTACAACACCAAAAGGGCAGCTGGCGCTTAGCAGACACCACAAACCACTTAAAAAGTCTTTTGTTTATTAGCTATTGTTCAGTTAAATATAGTACCTGTAGCTTGAACAATGGGCAGTGGCAGAGTACGTGCTTTTTAGTGCAGTTATGGGCTATTACTGAGCACCGAGGTGCAGCTTTAACACCGGAGGCCAGAGGCAAAGTACAGCACTTTGCCTGGAAAGCCTTGGTGATGCCATAATAACCAGCCCATTAGCAGAGCCACCGAGGGGAGGACAGAACTGATGTTTATTGCCTTCCTGTGAGCCCACAGAGTGGTGAAGGTTATTTAAACAGCTTTGTGCAGGGAAAGGTGGATGTCGGCAGGGATTTGGGCTTCCAAGCCATGGGATGGGAGAGGGAGCTGTGGGAATGCTGCTCCAGGAGAGAGGTCCAGGGCACCCTGGATGCACCACCCACTCTGGGCTCCTCTTTCTTCCGTGCCAAGATGCTCCATATCCCAAGGAGAGCTTTCCTAACCTCCTTTGAGTCAGGATTTCTCAGATGGCTGAGCTGGAGGTAAGGGCTCCACTGCCCCTGACCTCCTGGGACCCCAGTCCCATCTCAGCTCAGCATCACCTCACACTCCCTCTGCTCTTCAGCTGCCTAGGGACAAGAAATGGGGCGTTTTCAGACACTTTAGCAAGTGCTGTCTCAACACTTGTGGTAGGACTCCAAAAGGAGTTACTGTTTGCATCCACCAATTCAGCGCTTTTTGGGCGCACCAAGTGAACAAAATGTGAATTATTATTGCTTTTTTTCCATGAATTTTCCCTGTTCTGAAGCTGAATGGAGTTTTCTGATCTAATTAGCCCTCTTTTTCCCAAACAAATATAATGGCTTTGAAAAATTGCCTGTACTTTTATACGCCCGACATCTGGTTTTGATAAAAAACCTGAAACTTTCTAACTGCTACTTGCGGTCTGGAGGAAGGGAGGGTGATATTTAGTACATGATCTTTGCCCTCATTTTGAAGAAAAAAACCCCAAACCATCAATTCTGCTGCTGGCAACTGCAAAAGCAGTTAGGCTGAGCTCTCTTTTAAGTGAACAAACACTTATGGATCTATTTATACCTGCCCTGAAGCAGACTACCGTAGGTGGAAATGCTGTAATTATTTCCTTTCCCTGCTTTCCACTGTCCTATACAGATCTCCTGGAGCAGCTTGTTAACAACTACAGCTGTACATGGTGAAATTAAAATCAAGCCAATGTTAATAACCCCACCAATTTGACTAGAAATGACTAAAACTGGAGGTAACAAAGGTGAGACAAGCTTGAGGGCTGCTAAGAGACAGCTTTTGTTGCTTAGCCCCATCTATCTAAGAAGGCTGAGAATTACAAATGATGATCATGGCTGGCAGCTGAGGGGGACAGGGACCTGATCCGTAGTGATGGGGAGATGCAATAACAAATTTCCTGTGTTCCTTTTTCCATTGGTGCACATTTTCAATCTAATTCCCCTCCCAAAAGAGTCCCTCTCCTTCGCTATCATCCTACTCTTCTCCCTCCCCCTTCTCCCTTGGTTTGTCTCTCAGAGCAGATGATCTCTTCCCCTCCCCAGGTTAACTCTAGTTTCAGTATCAAAGATCATTTAAGCTGAAAATAGCTTTTACTGAGTCCATGTTACAACCCAGGGGTGTCTGGTCACCAGATAGGATCTCCAGCTGCCTCTCAGACGGCGTGTCGGAGGGTTATCTGCGTTCCGGTACTCTCAGTACTATGGCCACAAGCCATTACGCTTCATTGCAATTCAGGAGGGTCGTGGACTCGGTTACAGCTGATTATGGACCAGGTGGGAGGAGCTGATGGAACAGGGGAAAGAAATTCATTAACATTCAGCAGGGCAGCCTGTTCTGTAAAGAGACTTTTCACTTTCATGGAAAGGAATAGGATTTAAGTGACCATAAATTTTTATCACTCTCGTTGGTACAGATTATTAGGAAATGGCTAGTGTTAATATTTACTATTGCCTTCTGGGGTACAGAGTCCAAATTACTCAGTTATGAAAATAAGCCCTATACTGTTTGGAAGAATGAAATGTTGCCCAAGTATGAAGTCATGATGCTTCTGGAGCAAGGGGATGGACGTGCTATAAATCTCTTGCAGCACAAGGGAATGGCACCTGTGAATTGCGAACAGAAGGTGTATCTGCAGCAGGAGTTAGATGTGCTCAGTATTTTAGTGGCCCCCTAAATGTGTATGAGCATCTTTACTTTGGGAAGATTAAGCATATCTAGCAGAGTGGCGGAGGGAAGGAACAATGAACTGGCTACGAGGAGAGCTACAACGAGTCCCTAAGGAGAGTCCTAGTAGAGATTTCAAAATCCTCACTACACTTGAAAAGTAAAATAGACTGTCTTGATGGCAGGAGATGCAAAAAAGGTAGCAATTCAGTGAAGTTTTACTGCAGTATATTTTGGAAGATCTGCCAGATGGCTGGCAGCAAGACTCTTAAAATCTGACTTTTTTTCCCAAGCCAGCTATATTATCATCCATCAGGCAGTCACTTTGGACTGACATTGCAGAGCGTGGCTGTCTCCTTTACGTTTGCCTTGCTCCTGTTTATTTCTAGCTGATTTATTTATATCTGGAACTGATACAAGTGGCACGATTTCTTTGTTTCATTAAAAGATTCCTTGATCTAAACTTTAAAAGATTTGTCTTCAGAGAGATCAAAGTCAACCAAGTGTATGTCTGGCATCCCTGGGTTCTTCTGATATCCCAGTCTTCAAGTAAATCTGGAAAAGGCATTTTGTTGCAGAGTAGTAAACTGTGGTGACTCGGTTAAAGTAGAGCTGGCCACTGAGTTCTTGCATCCTAGAACCTATCATCCAGGCTTCTTAATTATTGTTTTCTAAGAGGTGAAACAGTGTTGACAGAGCTTGCACTGTCAAACGCCAGTCAAGGTAAAACCCAGTGCCAACTGCAAGCATGGAAAATTACTTCCCACTGCCCAGCAACTCACAGTCAAGCAAGTAAAATACGATTTGCACAGCTGAGCAGAGGCATTGTCAGGGTGCTAACCTAGGAGCCAAGCACTCCTAAACCCCATCTGTCACGACCTGTTGCGTGCTCCTGGGAAAACTGCATGCAGCCAGATCTCTAAAAGAGACTATTAATTCTGGGTACCTTATTTATTAATTCTGGGGAGGTGAATCCCCATGTCCCCTGGTTTCTAGACCCAGCGGTGGCATGCTGTGACCAGGACAGAGCTCTCATCCCTTTCTATTGCTGGAGGACAGTGGAAGCTATTTCTCTCCATCTCAGCTCAATTACTCCTAGAATTAGCAGGTCTCGAGCGATCTTCTCAAGCCCAGCTCCTTGTTACCTGCCGGAGCCATTGAAATGGTGTTTGTGGTGCTCTGAAGAAGCTGAATAGAACTGCTGAGTGTTACTGTGGATGGTTGGAGTATGTCCTGGATATGAATCATCTTGCTCTTTCTGACCTACTGTCCTAATTGAGAGTCATTTGTTCCTTAGACGCTCGTCACTGTCTGGGCCATACCTTTGTGCAATGAAGCAGCAGCCTGGAGCTGCGGGTGATTGCCCAGCTCCCTCATTATGTGACAAATTAAAGGGGCTTTAGTAAACTGACATGCTGAATCATGGATCCTCCCCAAACGTGACCCCAAATCCCTGCCCCTTTGTTTTGCTGTTTTCTGTGGGAGGGTCAGGCCAGGACATGGCTTTCCTGATGGCTGTATGAATTTTACTGCTGGGCATGTTCCAGTAAAATCAGCAGCCTTAGAACAGGGATTCTGTGGAAGCTTTTTTTGTCAGCACCTTTACCTCATTAGTTATAGTTTAGAGCACAAGCCTCAGGGCAGGACCAGCACAGTTGCTCCTGTTTGATTACACGAGCATTACTGCTTCTTCAAAAACCTCTTGTCGCCTTGAGGATGAGTAACAAGAGATGTTCCAGCCTTGTTTATCCAGCACATTTAAGAAGTGTACTCTTCCCCAACCATCTTCTACCTTCTTTTTTTTTATTAAGGGGGGCCTGATTGCCTCCTTCAAGACCCCTGTGGTGAAAGTCTCCCTGGCCACATCCCTTTGAAGAATCTCTATTCGAGGGCTTATCTTCACTGCAGAATTAACTCAAGGCTCTCAGTGAAGGGTCCCCTGCCTCCCTGCTCTGCCCACACTCCTCCCAGAAGCCTAATGGTAAATTGCAGCTGAGCAACCCACCAGCTGCCACAGATGAGTTTAAATGCTGGAGCTGCCAGCACTGCTGCAGTGATGCAACCATCGGTACACATCGCTCCGTGCTGCAAATCCCATGGTGCTTTCCTCCAGCCTTCCCAGTGATGCTCTTCCTTTGTCATGCAAGCACTTCCCTGATTCAGCTGAATGGGGGACATTAATATTCCCACTGTCCCACGTGGATGTCCCTTGGACAGGCTGCTGTGAAGCATTTAGCAAGAACAATTTGGATAGGAATATTGAGCTCAAATGTCTGGGTTTTTTCCCTTTTTAAAACACTTCCTGTAATAGAGGTGACAGAGACCTGTCAAATGCAGCCTGGGCCAGGAGTAAGGAGCAACCCCCAACCCACCAGGGGAAGCCATGGATATTTTTATGTATTTTGATGCCACTTTTGAAGGGTTCAGCCTCTTTTTTTTTTGTCTCTCAGGACATGTTGCTTTCTTCATCACTCCTCTCTTTTTTTTTTTTTCCATTTTCTCTTCTAAATGTGCCTGCATTTTGTAAAGTTACATTGCAAAATCCGCCTTTGTGCAGATCAACAGGCAGAGATCAGATCCTTAATTCTGAC